GCTAGATCAAGGATGTCAGCCAGTTTGACTGTTGAGCGTGGTAAGGCAAGGTCGTCTAATGTCGGAAGTAGATGTCGCCTGGTAACTTGTTTGATAAGCATTTTTCTTCCTCCGTTTACTGCGAATAGGTGCCAACAAATCTTCGTTTACAGTTTCGGCAGTAGGTATCTCTTAATTTGCAATAAAGCTTACAACACAACGAGCAGGTAATCAATATATTCTTAGAGAAATCGGAACTGGAATGCCGCCTTATATGGTGCACGTTATAAAATGTTAAATATTCGAGCAATTATCTCACATGACTTAGAAAACGTCCGTCATTCACTAATCAAATAATTTTGGAAGCTCGAACTATTTATTGACCTGAGTAATATCGAAATTTATTATTTTGAAAATCGCTGGTGGCTTCGTGGTTTGAATCAAACCCGTCGAGAACATTAAAAATTCACAAATTGACGGAAAAATATAAACAAATTTGTTGCGTTTCGCAATTACAAGACCGCTTAATGTTTTAGTAAATGCTCATATTTCAAACACTTTACGTCGTCTAGAAGGTAATAATTTATGTCAACGAGATTCTTAATCTGTAGCTATAAAGTGACAGTCTAAAATTAGTTGTGAATGCAAGAAGGTCGTATGTGAGGTCGGCTGGACGCATGCGCACTCTGCGGCCCATAGATCCCACGCGGCTAAGTCTCATTTTACAGATAGCAACAACTTGTCTAAAAATAATAAATTATTCCTTATAATGTAGTTAAATTGATTTTATTATTTAGTTTGCTATAAACATGTTTAGTTTAAAAAACTACCTTAAACGTTTTGGAAAGGGAAAATGCATTTAAGAACCTGATCAGCAGTATTAAGAGAAAATTCCGGGCTCGGCAACACTTGGCAACTTTTTGTTTAGAGTTGCGTCGCATGAAGACGGGCTAAGTGGGACTCGCGCCAAACTGGTAACGCGGCTCTTGCGCAACTCGGAGACTACAGTTGGTTTCCAATTTTATGTTGACCGGTTTCGAAGTTGTCTTAGCCTTCTAATTTCGGCTCAGTTAGATTGGAAAATGGCAGGTGATCCGCACCGTTTTCACCGACGACATTACATATTTCACGAGTATTAATTAAAGATTGAGGATCGTTATCTGCATAACTCAGATATTAGCTGTCCCATAAATCTCCACGATGTGCTTTATTATCTCGAGAGGTCACCTCGCTACACTTTTCTGACTTTTATATTTTCCACTTTTACAAAATACTATGATATAATTACTAATCCGTGAGCTTTCTAATTTGTAGTCAGGAAAATGGATGCTCGCGTTCGTAGCTTGTCATTCTCAATTTGACGGAGGCCGAGCGCCCTAGAATAGATTTCCATCTTTATCTCGTTTGGTGTAGTGGCGAGTGTCATGTCGGCAGTAAACAATCGAGCCGGTTCGATTCCCGGCGGTGCAGCGGATTGACGGCAGCGGAGGATGTCGCGGGACGTGGGCGCGTGTACAAATACAGCCGGCGGGAGATCGCGCACAAATCAACGCGCTGCGCAGGACCCCCGCGGATTCAGCCAGGGTTGCCTTATACTGTGATGCCGTAACGAATTTCAAACTAACCACACAATGGATATATTATTCGCTTATGATATTTTAAATACCTACTATGAACCACAATCCGCTTAAAACGCTATAAAACATTGTAAGTCAAGACGGCTAAACTAGTTTACAGTTAAACATTTATATATATTTTAACTACAATTTTTTACAGATTTGAAAAGCATAAATATTTCATTTGGATACGAAGAGGCTGCGCCTCGAGAAGCAGCCCTGGAGCACCCCCCCGGCGCGGCGACAGCGCCAACATCTCTCACCTCCAAGGCTCGGTAATGAACGATATAAATGTGCCATTTGGTACCCAATGTGTAAGCCTGTCTGCGCCCGCGCACCACGATCATTCTGACCGGAGACTCTGTAATTCAAAAAAAAATACTTTTAGTTAATAATGTAAAATTCTAAATTATTTTATGGATAATTTAAAAAGTTCGAGGTTGTTTTTAATAGTTAGTTCTACAACACTATTATTTAAAATAAGCGATGAAAGTTAAAAAGGACCGACAAAATTGTATTTAAGTACATCCTTTGTATAATTCTATAAACTGCTAAATTTAATCGGCCATTAAGTCGCACGAAAATTGTCCTTCAGAGAGTTTCCTAAAGGGCTGTCACAGGACTATTATATTATTAGGATCGTTTTGGTAATGATAGGGCCGACACATTGCCGTGGGCGACTAATCGGCCTCACAAAAAGTTCGTCCACTTTGGTACCCTCGAGTGCACCAGACAGCCCTCTGGCGATCGGCGATGCCTCGTCGGACGAACTGCATTTTTTGTTTCAATCGTATATAGGTACTAAAATTTCGTTTTTCATACTCCTTTAATGTACATTATTTATTTATACACAGTATACTACATTTCGTATCTATACTATGTGTTCGATCACTTATGGTTCAATTTTCAATAACTACCACAATAATATTAAATTTAAAAATAAACACATCTTCTCTCTTCACTTCATTTATTGCAACTCAATGACTAAACACTATCATTTATTTTTAATATATACAAAAGGAATTATAGAAGAAAAAATTAGGAACTGTTAGGTGCCACTTGAAATAATATAATGGCTAACTGCGGGAGGAGGTTAAGTATTGTCCAAATTCTAAGAAAAAAGTAAGGAAAAAAAGGAGGAATAACACATTCCATTCCACTGAGGATACCAAATGAGGGACTGACAGAGGGACGTAGACACAAATTAAAAACATGTATAATATGATGGGTGCACGCTCTAAAAAAGGAAGCAAACGCAAGGGCAGAGAAGAACACAGAAAGGCCCCGGAGACAATAGTGTCGGCAAAAAATAACGGCCGATTCTCTCGAGGAATTTGGAAACGAAATTCGCAGATCGCATTTTACGAATAATCTCGCGTGTTACTGCATTATTTTCGAAGATTCTAAAACATCATTGTTTTTTGGGGGCGCGTGCGCATGATTGGCGAGCTCGAGCCTCACCACGGGCTGACTCCACTTGGGAAACAATATTGTTTTGCAAATTAAGTGAAAGAATGGGCAATCATGAACATTTTTAAATTTATTTATTACAGTCGATCATATATTAACTAAAATGGCCAAATTTTTTTACAGGAATTGAACGTCTGTCTCTTCAATGTTTGTCTTTACTTTGCTTATATTATAACGTAATTCAATTGACAATTTGTGGTAGAAGCGATCCAGTTGGTCTGTGAGGCAATTGTTAGCTTGAGCACTTTTTTTACCGCTACTGCGACGAGGGAGCCGCGGGTTCGTCCGTCAAATGTCATTCGACAAACAATGGCATAGACTCTGCAAAAATGGTACGCGCATGTCTGACAGACGCAGCTAACAATGGAGCGAAAAAACAAACAATCGAATAGAAATCGAAAACAGAGCCAATTCGAACGCGACAAAACGGGAATTTGGAGATCCGGTTTGTGATGTCTCCGGAGGGCATTGTCGAGATGTCACTCGCCAAGGGATCGATTCAAAAAATCAATCGAAACCCAATTTGAATGATAGTTTTGTCAAGATCTGTACAGCGGAGGCGGATCTGAAGAGCCGTTGTGTTCAGACAATGTATGCACGGACGAGATGTCTCGGGGTTGTAAAGTTCAAGCATTCATACCCTCGTGACGGCGTTTTGTCTATCAGCCCTTACGCTTACGATCACCTGCATTCAAATGAAATACGAGTGATTTCCTTTCTCAAACCATATATTTATCTTCAAGATATTGCGTGAATGGAGAGTGGCTGTCGCTCATGGAGAATTTTAAAAATGTCAATACACATTTAGTCATTGGTAAATTAAAAATAATAAATAATGTTAATAGGAAGTGAAACTAGTACAACCACGTCGCAGCTACCTTAAGTGGGTGCGGGAAGCGGGGTCGGGTCAGAGGCTAGGTCCCGTGACGTCACAAGCCATTGTTGTCCACTCAAACAACAAGTCACCTCACACACCAGAAACTTGCATATTCATTTGGCTATTACTTTGGTATTTTTGTCACATATAGCCCATATTTAAACTGATCGTTCATGTTAGTAGCTTATAATAAACCTTTTATAATAAACTAAATATTCATATAATATAAAACGTAACTAAATGAAACATAAGTGAAATCTTCATTTAATAAGACTTACTGAATTACTCACTTACTACTTTGCTACCAAAGGTAGTTTCACTTCATTATGTTTTATTAATAAACATGACAACGATAAAATACTCAAAATACCATGAAATCCCCTAAATAAAGTGATTAAGCAAAAAGTCTCTTGTGGTGAGGTGAGAAAATCCGCTAATTAGCAGTTCGGCGAGTGATCGCGCAATGGGTGGCGAGCAAATGCATTGTTACATCGCTCACCTTTAGCTTCAAACTATAATTATCAGTCTTATGTTTTTTTAATTCTTCTTAACACCACAAAACATATTCGCGCCCGAATGAACCACACTAGGCCCAATACAAATATCGATTGTCCCCTTCCGAGTCATGCTTTTTAATTGTGTGTTTTCTTAAAGCTAAAAAAATTAGGAACAGCTAATATGTAAATGAACGTTGAGATGCAAAAAAATTGCATAACGTTCGTCCTTTGTTGGCGCGTGCGCAGTAACCCAACCCAGTACCCGTCTGCGGTACCTATGGCTCGCATAATATAATTAATTCGTAAGTGTCCGCCGGTTACCTGCGCCCGCGTCGGTTGCCTCTATGCAAACATTCGGCACGAGTTCAGGTGTATAATCTTGTCTTAAATACTTTTTGCTACTTCCCCTTTGCATACATTAAAGCGAGGATTATCATTAACGATATGATTATTATTTATTTAACACGATGTAATATTGTTTTAAATAAATAGAGTCGTGTGTTCTTGTCAATAAGAAAACGGTGTATAAGTATGGCAAAGCAATTTTAAAACGTAAGGGCGTTAGAAGCAGTCACCTGGCGATAGACAACGCGGCAGCTGGATCACATTGTTTCGTATCTTCACTTGACTTGCGAAAGGGCTGCTGCGCCCTGGGAATGTGCCCATGCTCTCGCGCACGACGCAGGACAATAGTAAGGTGATACCGGCGCTGCCATGACGAAACCGAGACATTCCGTCGACATGTAACGCAATTAACGCCTCTCGCTGATTGCCTAGCTCAATGATAGCGTCGAGTCCGTTGGGCAATTCAGATTTATGAAGCGCCGATCTCCGAACTGTAAAAGCAGATGTTGAATTTTATTCCCCAATATTTTATGTTAATTCGTCGTGAACTATCGGCGTCGATGGGAAAAGAAATTATCATAAAAAAGGTAGATGGCCGCGAGTGTTCCGTTTCGTGTTGGCGATTTTCTAATAGATCACATGCATTAATATGCTCGAGACTGGTTCTCGTGAGATCCGTTAGAGGTATTATGTAAATTATTAACTTTATGGCGGCTCCTACCGTACATGTGAATCGCCATCGAAATATAAGCGCGAGGCGGACTCCGGTCCACCTGCACCGGAGAGAGTCGTCTTCTTTTACCGATTGTTCATAGATACGAGTAAAACACATAAAATGTGCCGTTTAGAAACTAGACAAATCATAGTTTTGCATTTTATTTTAAAGAATGTCACTCTGCAACGGCTTTCGTTTCGATAAGAATGCAAATTCGTTCTAATTTCGGAAATATTATTGCGAATATTGTTAACGGCTGATATCTAGAGACACGTTTTGTGTTCGGTAATTTAGTGTTATCTCTATTAGCAAAATGTGGAAATTTTCTCGTTATCGAATATTTTGAAAGTGTCGCGTCTGAGAAATTCCTAGAAGCAGATGCGCCGCAGACGAGAATAAATTCTCATAGAGTGCCGTTATAGACGGTTAGAAATAAAAAGTGACCGTTCAATAAACACGATTGTCATATAAAGGAATTCGATTACTATGCACCGTGGCCATTGTGGGCTAGGGAAACGTTACCGAAACTAGTTTTCGTCCGAGCGATCTCATAGAGACACATTGTAGAGATTAATACAACCGGATGCTGGCTCTCCCGGCCGCCGATGAAACGGTCGCACTCTGTATAAAACCAGCCGGGCGACATGTCCCGATCTCTAGCTGACCCCTTCACTCCCCGCGTTGCCGCACCTCATTCATCACGCTCGGATGAAAGGATTCTGTTGGATCAGCTGATGCTGTTCGATTCTAACGGCCTCTATCAATTAAACACCCTTTTAACGATTTTTGATAGAAATGGAAAGCTAACCTGTTTAACCGACACACTACTTCGAAGGGTAATGTGAGGACATAATGCTCTCCGGAGTGGTCTCGAAGAACGCCGATTATATCACGTTACGTCTCTAATTTTCAATACAATGGCTCTAAAAAAGGCTGAAATAAACGTGTCGCAGTGCCACCCTCGGGCAGACAATGGTCGGAGAGGAGGTCGCGGGCGCATTTCAACACAATGCGGTTGCACCCACGCACTTTTTTGTCGCTTTGTGCGTCACAATCGCGCAGGAAGATCGATCAATGCCCTAGACACGTGTGCCGTACATGTAAATCACTAGGTTCGAGGTGAAAGTTGAAAAGTAAGAGTCTGCTCGCATCTGCTTGCAGCGGAGACAACGGCGCGGGGGCGGGCGCTGAAGGGTTGGGACACAAAGCTCTTGAGAGATTTTATCCGAAGTCAAGAGATAAAGAGCGTCTCAACTACAACTCTACAGATCGGCCAATCTTTTTTGTCAGTCATTGTTGTGTTGTTATTTGTTTGACAAGATTTAAAAATAATTTCGAAATGAATGATTTATGAAGGTCTTTACGTATTTTATCAAACTTATCAAAAGATGTTGGTATCATGTTTACAATGTGGTTTTGTTCCCTAGACAATGGCTTGTATTAGATGAGACAGAATTCACTTTCAATAGAACATATAAGAATTGTATTAATTCTCTTAGATTTTTTAAAAGTTTTGAGTCAACTAATGAACCTTTGAAGTCAAGTTAAGTGAGCTTAACGTCCTGAACGGCAGAGTGCAAACATATTCAAAAAGATACTGGAGCATCTTTATGCGGTCACTGCGAATGCAAAAAATGTTTGAACGATTAGTATCCTTCCGAATGATAAAGAACTTCTGGAATTACTTCTTCCCTTTGAATGGCGTTGCTAAATCGGTTTTAATAACATTCGAGATAGCATTTGGTGATAATGAATTTCGATTAGCGACCGTGGGCTTTAGCTCTTTGCCCGCCGTATTAAATTATATATTATTTATACATTGTATGTGTTCCATAATCAATATAAATAAGTTTTAAGGATAAATTAAGGGGCCAGAGGAGAATATGCATCAGGCTGTTGGGGAATCGGACACGGCATTTGATCAACTGTTGCAATAAATTATAAAATTAAAAGTGTTAACGTTTCCCGATATTACAAAGCACCATTAATAAATTGTGGCTAAATAACGCCATTTGTCGTTATTGATGGCAATCTCGAGTAATTCCGAGGGTCCGCGGCCATATGTCGCGGTCGCGCTAATCCGTGCTGAGCACCGAATGTCGCCTGCGTCTGCGCATTGACAACGCGCCATCGCACAATGGTTTATGGGCGACGATTAAGACAAATTTGTTCAGGATTAATTATGTGTGGACGCCATTGATTGAATACCACAATAATATGTGAACATTGTCTTAATTAGTATTTAGGAAGTTTAGTTATTAAGTTTATTAGTAGACGTGCACTTTAAGCACTAAAAACGAAGATCTTAGTAAAATATTTTCTTAGATAGCAGCTAACGTAAGCGAGGGCGGCGCCCGACCACATCGGACAACCTTCCATTGTGCGCCGTGTCCGATTCGCCGCGCCTATTGTGCCGACTTTCAGCCAAAACGTAAATAAACGCATCTGTTACCGCACTTGTGATAACCGTACACCGACATTCACAACTGCCATAACTATGCTCATGCTAAAAGGTACTCTACGCATCAAACATAGAGCTCATTTCTAGATACCAATTGATAGCACATAGATCCGTTTATTATTCCAATTTTGAACGATCCAAGGTTTGTTTTATAAAACCGAATTTGTGCTAAGTTTAATAATACAAGTTATATTAAAACGGATGCGATTGACAGCTCCCTCCCCACCCTAAACAATGCGGCTTAATATAATTATTATTATTCAACAGTAATAAGCGAATTTAACTTTAAAGAAAAATATAAAAGCGACTCATTACGCAACACTGTTTTCTGGTGTGGCATGAAATCGCACTTTTATTCTAAACCTAACATGTGCGTGAAACGATTGCTTCGTTTACATTGAGATAGAACAGTCTCTCGTTTTAATGAGATTACATAGTGTTAGGGATGTTGAGTGGTGGATGGTGGTCAGTCGAGTGGAATGGCTGTTAATTTGGTGTGGTTTATTGTGCGGAAGAATTACAAGTGTTCGTCCCAATCTGCCAAAAAGGAAATAATCTATTCTTCTTAGTTTTCTTAATTGTAAACGTTAACGTCACCTCTGTTACTTATTATACAGATTTTCATGAATATATATAAACATAATACAGTAGGTATAATGCTACCGAATTTAGTCCACACAAATATAACGAATGACATATAGTAATCAAATCCTTATAATTAATTAGATGTCATATTCTTCAACAACTCAACTTTAAGAATTGTGCTGATGAATGAAACATACGCAAACAACAAAAAGAAAATGAAAATAATAATAACGTCAATTCGTTCCTGCCATTTTGGGGCGGAAATTTTTGTTCCCTTTGGAGGATAGACTCTTGGGCCGAGGGTTCAAGTGCACAGGCGCTAGTTAAAGATTTAGGTTGGCGCATAGATAGTAGATAGCACCGGTAACCCCGTGAAGTGTCGCAAAGCTACCAGCGTTAAAGGTACACAAAGGACCAAACTTTATAAATTTGTTTTCATTTTCTTTTTATTATTTTTTAATTAGTTTTATTAGTACTATGTAGGTTAAGAATATTGTAAATTGTGTATATTTCATTCTTATAATAGGTACCTATAGTTATATCTGGTTTCATTTAATATATTCTGTTGTGAATACTATGTTTTAACACTTTGATTGTAGTTGACGTGTAAAGAAACGCCAATAAACAAGAAATTGCGAATATTTCCATTATTATGCGCAAGTTTCAATTAAATCGCCTGAAACCTGATGAACCGGCAAGTTATACGCTGCGTAACACCTTACGCACATTTTGAAATTGACGCAAAGTTTTAAATTGCAAGCATCCAATATTTACTTAATTAAGCGATATTTACTTAGTAATATTCAACATTTATTCTTGATCTTTCCACATGTTGTACTTTAAATTTTAATTGAATAAACGGCATTAGAAACCCTAGACTCATCTGCGTTCGGTCTCTTGCGGATAAAAAACAGGAGCGTTTGAATGCACACAAATCTGGTTAGCCTCTAATCTGGTTAGCCGTGAGGGACCGAATTTGTGCTCCAACTTTGGCTGATGAGCTATTCTTTAAGCCGAAGGGTCAATACTGGAAAGATATTTTATTCGAGCACTTTTCATTTGAACCACAAATTTTAATTCCACGTTTTAGTGCAATAGCTTGTTGCCGATGCTTTTTAATTGTTACATTATTGGATACATTATTATAAAAAGCTGTATTATCTTGAACAATTAAACGGGAATGTCATATCATATCATAAAGTCTATGAAAAGGCTAGGCGCTTGGCAGATAAAATAAAAATAAATAATCGATGTTTTCCCTCACCGCTCGTGCGAGTGTTTAATGCGCATATAGTCAGGAAGTCCATTGGTGAGATTCGGGGATTCGAACTTACGACCTCAAGGATGCGAGTCGCAAGCTGAAGAAACTAGGCCAACACTCCCGCTGTAACATAAGGTAATATCTAAATAAATGTTACGTGTAATAAAATTGTTGTATGGAACTGATCACAATTAGAGGTTATTTTATTTTAAGTATAGCGTTGAAACGTACGGACTTAATGAAAACTTTTTGTTCGCTGATAAAAATGCGCATTTGTGTAAATGCCTAACACATGTCAAGTGGCTCGCCTTGACGTGACACCAGCGCCTTCCTCTAACACCTTCCTCTAATAAATAAGGCTACGTTGAGTAATAGTAGGATTTTGGCATATCTTTATATCGCTTCGTAAAACCAATTCAAAACTTTTAATTCAAAGAAGGCTGGGAACATTCAACCTGAAAGTGATTTAAGTTAGGATTCGAACATGCGTAGACTGGGCTAATTTTATATCCAATTGTTTCAATCTATTTTCACCGAAGATTGACACTTTTTATACATATTGTAGATGTCAAAGAGATTTTGCGTTACGCAAATATATTTACACTGAATCGACCACAATGTGTAAAAACTATTTAATAAATAATAGTGCTTTAGAGCTAATACCCGAAACATAAGTTGAAATATCTGCCTTTGCCATAAATAAAACCAAATTTTAAGATCCGACAAGTCCTTCTTTTCAAAATACTTGATTCGAATCGAGATTAGTTTATGTGTAGTGTTCTATAATCTTACAAGAGAACATTTTCTTTCCACAAAATATCCACAAAGTAAACACAAGAATACAAACTGGGTTTTCCCTAAGCCTATAAAATAATATTAAAGGCACATGTGTCTACGAATAACCGAAAACTTAAAAACCCAAAATATAAAAATAGATTAGCAATAATAAATGAGGCACGACCTAATCTGATTACAACATAACAGAAACAGTAGTTTTAATTAAAAAAACCTCTTTGATTAATTGTTTTATTGGTTTAGTTGAGGAGGACGAAGAAGATGGGCAGCAACAATTAATAAATATGCCAATATGGCTATAATCGTATGGGTGTTTGTGGTGTGAAATGCATCTCGAGTGTTTAATGCGAGCTGATTAGCATGTCAATGCGCGCGCGCTGCGGGATTATTCTGATTGACATCAAATAGCGCATTATCATAATTGGCCCAATTATCATTTTTGATGTATTTATTAACACATATAATACTCGGTGAGATTCTCCGCTTACACAACTTATTTCATTGGTATTCACTGCAATATGTAGTCGGAGGTTTGGCTTTAAGA